TATATATTTGAATTATTTATATATATATATATATAGAGAGAGAGAGAGAGAGAATGCTAAAGCCAAGTGTGGCAAAATGAATCTAGGTGAAGGGTACATGAGTGTTTTTTACACTATTATTGCAACATTTTCGTAGTTTTGAAATTTTTCAAAATAAAAAGGTGGGAAAAACAAACAAACCACTCATACTCTCCCATATATGTTTCTCCAGCCGTCATCATTTCATCTACTCACAGCAAAGATTCCTTGGAGGAACCTATGGAACTCTGTCTACGTGCGGATTAAATGTTTTCTTGCTGTCCCTCCAAACAAATCTGTCGTGTTTGCCAATTCTCATGGTGTAAATGCTTCCACTATGGCTAATTTCAAACCATTAATGTGGCCTTATTAAACACAGAATTGGTAAGCAATGCAGCAGCACACATCACATAGTATTTCCAGCGTATAGATGTGATATATGTAAATAACCTCAGCAGCATAGATAGTAACATGTAGTAAAATAATCAGGAACCATTGAGTTTTGAGTATTTATTACCTTTGTCTTACTATAAACCACTCAATCATAAGTTCATACAATCAATTTGTAAATAATGTGTGTTTAGCAACTGGAGCCAAAATTCCTAAAAATTCGACAGTTGGCTCTCATCAGCTAGTACACTCTGGCTCCAGCACACTCCTGTAAAAAAAATCTCAACCCACTGAAATCCGGTTTCTATAGCCACCGTTCAGCCAAAACCCTTTTGCTCATCTCACCATAGACCTTCGTATTGTAAAATGCAAGACAGGCCTGACCTGTCTTGCCTCAGTTCTCTGTAGCATTCAGCACTGCTTACTCCATCTGCCTTCTCCGAGGCCTCTAAGTCCTCTTCTTACCCGTTGACCAGTCCTGCCCAGTCTCCTGTAAGGGCTCTTCTTCTTCAACTTTACCTTTGGGCCTTTGATGTATCTATTTGACACATTCTCCTTGGGTGCCCTTGTACGACTTCATGGACCCAAGTACAATTAGAAGGTCTATTGCCCAGGGGGCAATAGATCTTAAGCCCACATCCGTTACTCCCACCTCGAGGTGGCGCTCCTGAGGGGGTATGTCCAGCCCTGAAGCCAGAGAGTGTATGTTGCCTCCCTTTCAAATCCCATAGATCCTCACAGTTTAATAATGCAAAAGGCTTCAAATAGGGCAAACGCAACATACATTAACTCCCTCTCTCCAGCCTCAGATAGCATGGCCACATCAAGATACTGCCACTCGGTGGCGGCATTCGCTAAATGGAAAATAGTATCTGGGTGCTGAAAGGACAGGGGCCTGAGCTTCTTCAGGGCCAGGTGCGTTAATTCACACTGAATCGATGGAGGGGTGGCCACACCCAGCCTGGTCTCAGCGACCCCTTCCTGTTCTGGACCAAAACCATCAGGTGCCTTCACGAAACGCTGTACAATAGTGGGCTCATTCGCTCTTGCTCTTGGAGCAACTCAATTGTCCGTCTGTTGGTCACTATCCTTCCCTATCATTATCAGTGAGAGCCAGAGTCAATCACTGTCGGGCTGGTTCGCTGCTCAGTCAACCAGTCAGAATCCAACGGAATCCGTTCTTGTGGTGGGTCGTTCTGCCTACTTGTCCTTAGGACCACTGGAACCCTGCCTGTTCTACCAGGGGTCCCCAACCCCTGGGCTATGGACCAGTACGTCAGTGGCCTGTTAGGAGCCGGGCTGCACAGCAGGTGAGCAGCGTAGGAGCCAGCGAAGCTTCGGCTGTAGTTGCAGCCACTCCCCAGCACTAGTATCACCGCCTCAGCTCCACTTCAGACCATCTGGCATTAGATTTTCAAAGGAGCACCGGTCCCTGGGGCCAAAAAGGTTGAGGACCAGCTGCATAGGGGAATCGACGCCGGCTCCGCCCCTTCGCAGTCTTACCCTACCAAAGGTGTCTGCCTCACAGAAGTTCCCCGGGTCACATCCAGTCAC